TGAATGCCACTGCACTGCTTGATCACTGTCAGGGTCTGAATGTACAGGAAAGCAATGGATTTATGTTTGTGGTATCAGAGCGGCTGGAGGTTAATTTCTCTAAGAAGTATTGTAGCATAACTGTTCCAGTAATATTTGAGTGTTACTTCAGATCATATTTTGTATTTTACTTACAAAAGGTTAGAAATGACCAGTGGCCCCATCTCAAGAAAAAGAACTTTTTGGCTTATATTTGTCATCTCTTATCAGATTTGTTTGATGACTTCGCTGAGGGCCGAGAGTGCGTGAACTGCGGAGCGATGTCAACCCCCCTCTGGAGGCGAGACGGTACCGGTCACTACCTGTGTAACGCCTGCGGGCTGTACCATAAGATGAACGGCATCAACAGACCGCTTATCAAACCCCAGAGACGGCTGGTTGGTCACCCACGATTTCATCTTCTCCTTTAGCAAGTCCTGTAAAACAGATGCTTTCATCTCTTTGCTAAATGTCACTCCACTGACGACCGACATGTTTTATCTGTGGCAGTCTGCCTCGAGGAGGGTGGGCCTGTCCTGCACCAACTGTCACACCACCACCACCACCCTGTGGCGACGAAACGCAGAGGGAGAGCCGGTCTGCAACGCCTGTGGGCTCTACATGAAACTCCACGGGGTAAGAGAGAGAACAATGGGAGAACTCTTGCACTCTTCTTCTTTCGGGTGCTCCCTTTAGGGGTCGCATCCATCTCAACCTATCCCTGTATCTTCTTCTGTCACCACTTCTTCTGTGGTCTTCCTGGCAGCTCCACTATCCCTCCTCTACACATGTCCAAACCATCTCAGCCTTGCCTCTCTAACTTTGTCTTAAACTTGCACATATGATGCTTTGCAAAATAAAAATTAATGCAGAACATCTAAATGAAAAGACATTAAGAAACTGCATCAAGTCAGTGATCAACTCTTGCCTTAAAAACAGTTTTCCAGCCTTTTTGATTGTTTAATGTATATTAATACAACCTGCGTTTTCTTTAAGGTTCTTTCTTTGTCTTTGTGTCTCGACAGGTCCCTCGACCTTTGGCTATGAAGAAAGAGGGGATCCAGACCCGCAAACGCAAACCTAAGAACCTCAATAAATCCCAAACTGGTGGGCTTCAAAAACACACTTGATTATATTTGTGTTTCTATTTAAGAGCAAGCAGGAGCAGAGCCGTAAATGTTGTTTCTCCCCTGTGTTCTACATTAGAGTGATAATTTTCTGCCGTCACCTGTTGTCCTTTGTACTTCCAAACCGAAGAAATAAACGTTTTTAGATTTATCAGTGCAAATGTGATACAGGTTTACGTATCACATGTGTACAACACCTGTAGCCTCACCTGTGCTGTACCCTGCAGGGACACCAGGCAATGAGGGGGCTCCGATTACACCCAGCAGCACTCCCCGCGCCTCCACCACCTCCACCACTACCACCACTGCAGAGGAGACTCGCCAGATAAAGACGGAGCCAGAAAATCACAGCTTGTACACACATCACAGCTCACATGCACAAGTGAGACACCTCAATGATGAAATCTCGAAGGACATTTACGTTCAAGAAATTTACGATAAACTCAGATTTTTGGTAGACATTAGTGTAAAAATCAATGCCTCCCTAACCACGTGTCACTCAGAGGTAGTAAGTGAACAGAAAGATGGCAAAAATTCCACTTCTCATCACCTTCTCCATTATCTCTCCAGATTTCTGCTTTGCCAGCCTACATGGCAACTCAAGGAGGCCCCATTCCCCTGAAGATGTCCCCTGGGGGGCACAACGGGTCCTCTGGCTCCAAATCTGAACCCTGGAACAGCCTAATCCTGGCTTAGAAAAAACCTACAACCCAACATCTCAAAAACCTACCTAACCACAGAATACCTATTAAAGTCTCCTGACAGACTCTGGGTTCAGACCATCTGTTTCCTGCCCGCTGTGCAGCGTTGTCAGTGCAGGAACAGAAATCTGGGAGCTACTACAGAAGAAACGAGGCCTTAAAGTGCTGCACACACTGTGTGTGAACTCAGAGCAAACAAGGACTTGAATGGACTTTGTTATAGAAATCTGAAAGAAGAGCAGTGACTAGATTCACTCAGTAACACGACAGAAAACCTTTCGTCACCCTCCTCGACAGATAAATACTGTAACATAATACATGACAATAATAGTTATAGTCATTTTTTTTAAATTAACTTTTTTTTTTGATTTGCATATGATTGTGGATATTTTGCCAAAAAGGAAAAACATTAAAATACACAAAAAATGTTTAAAAAAAAATCACAATTTTTAAACTTAATGTAAAAAGTTGCACCACCAGGTTTACAGAAAGTGTATTTAAAGGCCAGCTCAGATACATGTATATAAAAGAACCAGAAATATAGTAGAGTTGATCACTTTCCACTGGTTGTATCAAGGCAATTCAACAATAGACTTTCCACACATTTTTCTTCATGGTGCTTAAAGCTTTGATCTTAATTCTTTTTTTTTTTTTTTTTTTAACTGTGTGGGATGAAATCTTCCCTTGGATTCATCCAAAGAAACTGGCACGCTGTTTTGGGGAAAGTACAATGCTTTTTAGGGTTTGCAGGTTTAATTAAACGAGTACCTTTTTGTAGTTCAGTTGTAATGTAATAAGATTGCAGCAGACGCAAACTATTCAGTGTTTCTATGCTGGTTAAATTCAGCAAACTGAAACAATGAGCGATCTGTTATACTCTTTTCAAACTGCAATAGAAGGTAAAGCAAATATAAAACAGGTTATATAGAGTGTCCCAGGGATCCACGGCAGTGGGCCATCCTGCACAACAGTATGTTTTGTCATTGGCAGATCAGTATTTCTGCTGACAAGAATCTGCAGTTAAAAGGCAACTGTGTAATTAGCCCATCTAACCTTTGAATGACTATTCCCCCCTAAACTTACTTTATGGGATCCACCACTCCCCAGTGCCAGTTATCCGATCGCTACACGATCTACTACTCAGTGCAATAATAACAGCTCCTTATCACTTTCTTCCATTCAAAGTATGAAAAATACACGTCAGTATTGGCATCTCTTACAACACATGATAAACTACCTGCGCAGGAAGAGTGCACGTGATGATTGTGATGTGGAGGCCACATAGCTCCCCCTGCTGACAGATGCACAGGCATGCAACCACTGGACTTTAATTAAAAGGTTTAGCGCTAAACCACATCATGATCATCACCGTCATCATCGGATTACCATCTACTATATAAGGACTGACCAATAAGCTGTATAAAGGATTAACTGTACAGTATGTTAGCATTACTTCAATTTGCTTTCTAAAAGCATGGAGGCAACCATTGTAAATGTAGGATATTGCTACTGCTTCTATGTAAAAACTCCACTCCAGTATGATCTGTGACATATTGTAGACAAAGACACTAATAAAGACACAGCATTTTGACATAATGCAAACAGTATGCAAAGGTGGTGGAATTCATTCTGTTTCTAATGACAGTGTCTTACAATAACTTCATCTTCTTCTCAAAAGCACGTGGAGCCTTTGAGTCCTCTTAATTTCACAATTTGTAAAAATTGCTCTGTGATGTTCACGGTGTTTTTGGTAAAAAGCTGAAGGGCACAGTGGTTAAAGTCCTCAGTCAACTTTTCTCTGATGACCTCTGCACACTTGTCCTGTACCAAGTCCCTCCAACACTGCTGAAACGCAAGTCTCATTATATCCTCGAGGCCAGCATCACACGCTTGTGAGCTAAATGTGTAACCAAGTGCAAAAACACGCCCTCTTTCTAAATATTCCTGGAGACTTTCGGTACTCATCGAAAGCAGAACTTCTGCAGTCGATCAGTGCCTTCACCCTCTGCGTCAGGATTTTTTTTCTTCTCATGCGCTGGTTTGCTTTCAAATATAGAACGCATGCTTTTAAAATAAGTCTTCCTGTCCTGCTTCTGCATGGTGGCTGCAAAGTGGATGTTTTCTTGTTGAGGCCCCAGCAAGCGCTTAAGAAGAGAAAACACAGTTTCACACAAAAGATTAAGATCGGTGCTCATTTCAGCTGCTTTAACATAACTCTCATAGTCCACAGTTTGATTTAGGCACTCCACCTGTTTGTAGTTAACACCCTGAAACAGATTTTCTCTGGTTCCTCTAAAGCCCAAGCACTTCATATGGCCAATATGAGTCTTCACTCCAAGTGCATTCCACCTCTCCAGAGCCTTATGAACCAAGTTCAGCATGCACGGGTTGGCATATCTTGCCAAACATGGGCTGTTCACAGTGAAGATGTAGCCCTTTACGTCTTCAGAGAAACTCTCTGACTCCAGAAGTTCCTGGGTTTGGCTGATAACGAGGTCCTCACTATGTTCTCTATAGTTAGGATAATAAGGCCCGTACATGATAATCTCCTCCTGTCTTTCAATCACTGCCCAAGAATGCCGTTTGTCGTCTTCACAGCATTCATCAGTGATGTCGTGGTGAAACTGTAAAAAATTACTGTTCACTGAGTCATTGAGGAAAAAATGATTTGTGGTTTGATTAAATTTTAGATACTCCAAAACTTTCATCCCAGATTGCTGTGCGTTAGCCCAGGATGATGTCAGCTCCAAGAGGAGATTGGTCCTTCTAGTTGCACAGGCTTCACGTGTCCAGGGGTGACCACAGCTTGTCCTGTGATGCAAATATATCCATTATTAATGAATTTCACACAAAAGCCGGACAATGAGCACGGTGGCACGGTGGTTAGCACTGTTGCCGCACAGCAAGAAGGTCCTGAGTTCAATTCCACCATCAGGCCGGGGTCTTTCTGTGTGGAGTTTGCATGTTCTCCCCGTGTTTGCGTGGGTTCCCTCCGGGTACTCCGGCTTCCTCCCACCGTCCAAAGACATGCAGCTTGTGGGGATAGGTTAATTGGATAATCCAAATTGTCACTAGGTGTGAATGTGCGAAGTGAATGTGAGTGCGAATGGTTGTCTGTCCCTGTGTGTTAGCCCTGCGACAGACTGGCGACCTGTCCAGGGTGTACCCCGCCTCTCGCCCTATGACAGCTGGGATAGGCTCCAGCGCCCCCTGCGACCCTGAAAAGGATAAGCGGAAGCGAATGGATGGATGGATGGAGCCGGACAATGACGATGTTAAACCTCGGTTCTTTTAAGGACATCTGTAGTTTTATGGGAACTGTGTCTGGTACTGATGAAGAGCTAAAACTTGTTGGACACTTGCTGTGTGAATGGCAAAGAAAAGTGATTTAAGTGACCTGGTTCAGGGACATGAGATGGTTGTTGATGCCAAAAGAGCTCAGCCAAATATTTCAGAAACTGCTGCTGGGATTTTCCCACACAAAAATCTCCAATGTTTACAGTGAACAGTCAGAAAAAGAGAAAATAGTTGTGTGAAAAAGTCTTGTTGATGTCAGAGGTCAGAGGAGAACGGCCAGACTGCGCTGAGTTGATAGGAAGGCAACAGTAAATCATATAAGTGATTGCTACAACCAGCATATGCAGAAGTGCATCCTTGAATGCACAGCACCTTGAAACAGATGGGCTTCATCAGCAGCAGAAGACCACACCAGGTTCCACTCCTGACAGCTAAGAACAAGAAACCGAGTCCACATTTCACACCTGCTCACCGAAACTGCACAACAGAAGATTGGAAACATGTTGCCTGGTTTGCGGACTCTCCGTTTCTGCTGCAACATTCAGATAGTAGGATAAGAATTCCGGACTACACGGACGCATGGATCACTCGCACCTTGTATCAATGGTTCAGGGTGGTGCTGATGGTGCGGGCGAATATTTTACTGACACACTTTGGGCCCCTTAGTACCAATTTAGCAACATTTAAAAGCCACAGACTGCCTGAATTTTGTTGTTGACCATTACCATCCCTTTAAGCCCACAGTGTACTGATCTTGTGATGGCTGCTTGCAGCAGGATAACACACTGGATACGTTTTTATCAAACTGTACCAGCTATAGCTGATATTGTTGGATGAACCGACCTGTATTATGTGGTCACATTTCTTCTTTTTTATATATAGATTTAGTAGTTAACTAAACAGACACTACTTGACTCAATAACTCTTCATTTCCCGCAGATAACATATTATTGAACTACTTGTGTGACGACATTTGGTTCACTATTGCCTAAAACAAAACAAATACACACAACAATTTGTGATCGTCTTGTTACAACACGTGGAAACTATTTCACATTGGAAAATCCATCCAGTCTTCTCACCTCAGCCAAACCTATAACCCTGCTTTGCCAGGCTCTGTCTTAATTTAGGATCTCCAGACAGAAAAAGCCTCATAACCTGATATGTTGCACTACATTTTTTCACCCAGGCTGTCATTTGTCAGTACGTAGCTCCTCCGTCCAGTAATACTCAGGCCTTTGTGGCTATGACCTAAACATTGCTGAAGAGCTGCTTCTTTTATTAAACATCAGCCCTCAGGAGTCTTTCCTCATAAAAGGACAGAGTTATTTATGAAGTCTGCTCCCATCTATGATATATTTCAGTTAAAACAGCTGTGTGGTGCTTTTCACTGTGTAATTTTAAACAACGCTGACATATTTTGTATTTGTATTTTTAATCTGTCTTCTAGGTGTTTTCCTTCCTGTGGTTTCAGTTGACGGAGGTAAGCGAGTAGAGGCAACTTGTCTTGGCAACTCGATTTTTTTTAGAACTAATTTGCATATGTGCTCTTTTATGTGTGGTGCTTTTCTAACTGTGTTTCAGAAGACATTTTTTAAAATATTCAATCAATCAGTCAATCAATTAATTTATTTATAAGCACTTTCAAAAACAACACAGGTTGACCAAAGTGCTGGACATAGTAAAAAAGGAAAAAGTAGATCAAACACACAAAAAGAACAAAACAAAACTCTGTCACAATTAAAAGCTACAGATTAAAAATGTGTTTTCAAACGGGTTTTAAAAATGTCAAGTGTTGGAGAGATCCTAATTTCAAGAGGCAGACTTTTCCAAAGTTTGGATGCAGCAATCGCAAAGGCCTGGTCTCCTCTGTTTTTTAGCCTGCTTCTAGGGACAACTAGAAGCAACTTATCAGCTGACATGAGTTCTATTAGGAGTATTTTTAGTTAACAGATCATAGAGGTATGACGGAGCTAATCCATTTAGAGATTCAAAAAACAAGCAATAAAATCTTAAAATCAATTCTACAACGTATTGGAAGCCAGTGTAAATGAGCCAAGACTGGGGAAATATGGTCATGTTGAGCGCCTGTCAAGATTATTCATTTAATTTTGGGGGGATTTTTTCTTTCTTTTTTTGCTGATAGATTTTGGCCTTCACTCTTAGTACTCAGCTATCAGGCCGCTCATACAACTTGTTAGTTTTAAAGCTTCCGAGTTTAATGGAAGAAAGTATTTTTTGCAAAATCCAAAGCTTAAAAAAAATCGAGGAAGAGAGTAAGTAAAGTAAAAAGTCCTTTCCTGGTTCTGTCTTAGATCATCAAGGTCAGTAAACTCATATGGTGCATGTTGCCACAG